CAGATGCGGAAACTGAGGCTGGACACAGGCCACACCAATGTTTAGCAATGGAAGGTGGCCTGGCACTCGAAAGGCATTTTCCCACCCCACTCCAAACGTGATCCATTTGCCTTCCCCTCCGCCCTAATTGCTGCAAAGCATTCAAAGGACGAAGGATCTCATTGGGGAGATAGGAACCTGTCAGGCGTCTGAAACAGGCCTGGCTCCGTGGGCGCCGTCTTGCATCAAAGCAGCCCACGCCATCCCCGCCTGAGCCCCGGGGAACTCTCCCCCGCCTTCCAGTTGCGCGTCCTGGGCCGGGCTCACCGTGCAACACGTGGTGTTCAGCGGCGGGCGAGGGCGGGATCAAAGAGCACAGGGATCCCGAAGGTGCATCCTTCCGGGGGCCAAAGGGCAGGCGCGGGCTCCTCTCCCTGGCTCTGTGGGCACCGCGTCCCGCGCGTGGCGCCCCGAAGCCTTCGGTCCGAGCGTCAGGCGGCTGTGAGTCACGGGGCGCAGCTCTTTGGTTGCTCCAAGACCTGGGCGTCTGCAGCTCAAAGCGGCTTCCACAGTCGTGGAGGGTTAAGCGGGTGGGACACTTCGCTGGGGGGCATCTGCAGGCCAGAGACAGCTGGCGCCGCAGCGCCCAGGAGCTTGAGCAGACCCCTGCGTCCCAGACTCTGAGCCTGCGGCGCTCAGCGCGAGAACCACGGGAGTCTCCCCGGTGGCCCGCCTCCCCTGGCCATGAGGGTGCAACGGGAGTATGTGTTTTAGGAGAGCTGCTGCCGGTGTCTCTTGGTCTCCAGGACTCTCTGCAACCCCCTCCCCCGTAATTGTGGAGTCAGGTAGTGAGCATTAGCCTGCAAGAGCCAAGGCCTGGGAATGCGGGCGACCGCTCCCTGGGGAGGAAGTCCCTCCCTGAGTGGGAGCTGCAAATTTCAGCAAGGCCAGCCCAGAGGCTTTGGTGACAAGGCACCTCTGCCTGCTTGATGCACACTCTGGCCCAAAGGCCCAGAGGCCACAAGCCCAGTGTCCTGTCAGGCCCTGGGGGCAGCCAGGGTGAAACCAGCCTGCTTCCAGACACCTGTGTTCAAGTTCAACTATCAAGTTCACCTATCTCACTCCAAAAGGAAAAGTGAAAAGTGGACCCCAAGTGCCAACCCCTCCCCCAAATAATGACTTAGTAGAGGAGGTACCTGGTAACCAAACCCTAGTTTGGTATAGCCACATCTTAGTTTTGCTATAGCCACATCTAACCTACACTGCATATATATATATATATATATATATATATATTTGGACAGGCAGAGTTAGACAGTGAGAGAGAAACAGAGAGAAAGGTCTTCCTTCCATTGGTTCACCCCACAAATGGCCACTACAGCCGGCGCGCTGCACTGTTCAGAAGCCAGGAGCCAAGTGCTTCCTCCTGGTCTCCCATGCGGGTGCAGGGCCCAAGGACCTGGGCCATCCTCCACTGCCTTCCCGAGCCACAGCAGAGAGCTGGACTGGAAGAGGGGCAACTGGGACAGAATCCGGTGCCCCGACCGGGACTAGAACCCGGGGTGCTGGCGCCACAGGTGCAGGATTAGCCTAGTGAGCCGCGGCGCTGGCATATTCTTAATGTGTCTCTTGGTTGACTTATTTTTGTTTGTAGTTTATACTACCCTTATACAATCCTTATACTATCCTTATACAAAAAGGATTTGATGTGCTACTTATATTCAAATATAATTAAAATAAATTGCTATTAAGATGTGTTCATCCTTGAGACCATTGGAAGGACCCCTCAGCCCATCTGAGCACGCCTGGGTAAACGCTGCAGTTGGGTGTGGTACTCGGAGAGCCCCGGGCTTCCAGCCCCGCCATGTGCTGGGTGACCCGAGCCTCCCTCTGCTGCTCTTCCTGGAACTGCACTGAGGGCTGTACTGAGAATTACAGGCACACAGGGCTTGGCAAGTAAGCCGTTCTCAGGAAATGCAAGTTCCTTCTCTCTGCGAGGCAGCGGCAGTGTGGTCAGAGCACTTGTGGTGTGTGTGCAGGGCCTGCATGGGAGAGGCAGGGTCTCTGCCACCACATAGGCCTGGTGTTCCTGGCAGGAGAGAGCAGAGGCCCGTCATCAACTGCCTGCTTGTGGAGACCTGCCCAGCACCCTCATTCTAACCCGGCTCCTGGCATGTCCCGAGTCCCTGGCTTCCATTGCCACAGAGTAAAGGAGGGGAGGCAGGCTTTCTGCAGGGGGGCTGCGGTCACCCCACTCCCGGTTCTGCTTTGGACCCAGCCCGTGGGAGCACACACATACAGGTGGGCACACTTGCCGGCCAGTCCACAGGCGCCCCAGCAGTCAGAGGGTTCATGGGCAAAGGACTAGCCTGAAGGAGAGTGCAGGATGGGGGCAAGGGAGTCCTGTTTCTTCAGGCAGTCCCTTCCCCACCTGGGGCCTCCCTGAGTTATCTCCACAGGCACTTACCGAGTGCCTGCCTTGTGCTGCATACAGCAGGGCGTATGAAGAGGCCTCGGCTCTCAGGAGCGCACATTTTGGATGGAGAGACAGACAGTAAACACATGAGTAAGAAAAAGTTTCTAAATGCCGTAATGAAAATAAAGCAAGACAATAAGACAGAAAGTCGAAGCAAAGGAGAGCCAAGTGCCTTCATGGGCTACTTTTCAACTCCAAGGGTCATTTGCTGGGGTTTTGTATCTAAAAGAGACAGGACATACAGTCCTTTTAAACTGAGCAGGTGTCTTGCCCTGTGCTACCACAATATCCCAAGCTAGGAGAAGAAATGCTACCAGCTTTTCTGTCTCCAGCCCCCCAGTCCTGGCCCTTGCCCCAGTTCTATCCCTATCCCCTGGACAAGGCCAGGCCCACCCACCACCGTAGGCACCTGGCCTGCTGTACAACTTGCTCAGGGTCCACTAATGTACACATTTTACACTAATCTCAATTGAGCAATAAAATAAAGTCCTAGTTCTGATGTTTAATACCAATATTTAGACGTATTTGAAAGCCAAATTTACACTTAAGATTTTTTTTCATTTCATTGTATACAGATTTTGCCTGAAAATAAAAAAAAATTACAAACATATAATGAACTCTAGGTAACAGATTACATTCTGAAGCATTTAGGTAGAGGTGTGCTGGTGTCCGGAACTTACTTTGAAACGTATCAAAAAGTCAGGTTATAGAGGGATGGATAGATGGACAAGTATGTGATGAAACAAGTAAAATGTTACTGCGTTCACTGTATAAGTACCCAAAATTGCTTTTAATTACCAAACAACTTTCCTTGCAGACAATTCCAAGGTTTCTCCATATGCACACACTTTTAATAAAGTGGAAATCATATGTTTGTATACATTTATCATTGTTAAAAGTTCTCTTGGGGCTGGTGCTGTGGTATAGCAGGTAAAACCATTGCCTTCAGGGCCGGCATCCCATATGGGCTCCAGTTCTAGTCCCAGCTGCTCCACTTCCCATCCAGCTCTCTGCTGGAAAGCAGTGGAAGATGGCCCAAGTCCTTGGGCCCCTGCACCCACATGGGAGACCCAGAGGAAGCTCCTGGCTCCTGGCTTCGGATCGGTGTAGCTCCTGCCATTACGGCCATCTGGGGAGTGAACCAATGGATGGAAGACCTCTCTCTCTCTGCCTCTGCCTCTCTGTAACTCAAATAAATAAATTAGGCCACCACTGCAGCTCACTTGGCTATCCTCCGCCTGTGGTGCTGGCACCCCAGGTTCTAGTCCTGGTTGGAGTGGCAGATTCTGTCTCAGTTACTCTTCCAGTCCAGTTCTCTGCTGTGGCCTGGGAAGGCAGTGAAGGATGGCCCAAGTGCTTGGGCCCTGCACCCGCATGGGAGACCAGGAGGAATTGGGGGGTGAACCAATGGAAGGAAGAGCTTTCTCTCTGTCTCTCTAACTCTGTCAAAAAAAAAATCATCCCTCCAAATGTAAATATCTTTATCAACACATCAAATAAAATAAATTTAAAAAAAAGTTCTCACACAGTTCTGAAACATCACGTGTGCAGTCTGTAATGCCTGTATAGTGTATGAGGGAACATGTGGTATGTTACTTAGGGGATATGGGCTTTTTATTGTTGCACATTCTTTAAAAATTTTGTTCATTTTATTTGTATGGGGAGAGAGGAATAGAGGGGGAGAGGGGGAGAGGGGGAGAGGGGGAGAGGGGGAGAGGGAGAGGGGGGGAGGGGGAGAGGGGGAGAGGGGGAGAGAAAGAAAATCTTCCATCTACTGGTTCACTCCCCAGATGCCTACAACAGCCAGGGTAGAGCTAGGCTGAAGCCAGGGGCCTGGAACTCTATCCTGGCCGCCCATGTGGGTGGCAGGGGAACCAAGAACTTAAACCATCACCAGCTGCCTCCCAGGATGTGCACTAGCAGGAAACTGGATCAGAAACAGAGTAGCTGGGACTGGAACCAGGCACTCTTATGTGAGATGCGGGCACCCCAAGCAGCAATTTACTTGCTTTGCCACACACCTGTCCCTTTGCACATAACAAAAGCACTGGCCCAGCCTCCCTTTCCAAAGAGGAAGGACTGTGGTCTGATAACAACTCTTTGTCATTAAGAACTGGGAAGCCTGGAGAAAATATTTTTTAAAGGCATCAAAGCACTACCAAGGGCAATGAGGAACTCTGGGACCAAGACTGGGGAGGAAAAGTCCAGAATGATGAGCCAGCCCAGTGTAGAGAATCTATTCCTTAAGGTATCTGCTGACTCCAGAAAGCTGGTCCTATTTCCAGAACCATGTAGTTCACCCCTAGGACCCAACCACCATGCTGCAGGTACCCCAGGTTCTAGCGTTCTGGCCGATAGCTAAACAGCAAGCTTCACTACCAGACATGTAAGCAAGCCTTCAGTCGGTTTCAGCCCTAGCTTTCAAGTCACCCCTGAGCTTTGAGTCTCACAGCTGATGTCCTAGACTTTGTGGAGCAGACACAAACCATCCCTCTGTGTCCTGTTCAATTTCTTGACCCACACAATAAATAGTGAGCATAACAAATGGTGGTTTTATAATTTGATTTATAACCCCGTGAAGGATTTTCACAAATTTAAGTTTACACATCTGAAAAAAAAGGAAAGGAAAAGGAATACTTTACCAGGTCCTGAGTCTCTTTTTAAAAGCAGTCAGCCCTTTGAGTGTGAAGCTCTGGTGAGGTCTGCTCTCTGGGCTTTGGTTTCCTACTTGACAAAAGGGGGCCACACCAGGAAAAGGCAGTGCCCTCAGTGTTGGGTGGGGGTGCTGGGACATGAAGCCACAGTGCACGGGAGTGTGGACAGAGGCTGCAGACAGGGAGGACACGGAGCCACGAAAGGCCCCACTGACTGGGGGAGGAGGGAGCTGGGTCTCCAGTGTGTAGTTCCCTTCTTTGGTAGAACTGACGTCTTCCTTGCTCTCCTCTCACGCCTGGAGACCACTCAAGAATCACTCACAGCTGTTCAGTGGGCAAGGGGCCCAAAGCCCTTCCTCTGACCCCCACTGCTCACGGGCCTCTCACTAGTCCGATCCTTGGGGCACAGCCAAACAGGACCTTGCCTCAGGCTCCCCTGCTCACAGACCCCTATTCCGGTTGGAGCACAGCTGGCCTGGGAGTCAAATTCCAGTTCCGCCACCCGTTTGCCCTTACCAGCCTCCGGGGGCCTCAAGTTCCTCTATCATCAAATAGGGTGACGTTGCCTATCTCACAGGGCTGTCACATAGAATAAATGAAGTCAGAAGGGTAAAGGCTTTAGCATGGCTCGTGTGTGTGTGTGTGTGTGTGTGTGTACACATATGTAATTCTTTTCAGTGTGGTTCCTGGGGAACTGGTACTTGAGCCTGCACCGTCTCTCCCCTAGATCTTCCCAGGGCAGTGAGCTTCAGAGAGCTCTCCCTGGTAGCTTTGTGGAGACGGATAGGTCTCTAGCAAGTACAGCTGGAGAAGCCCCCACCTCCTGCTCCAACACAAACATGTGGAGGTTTGCTGTGGTGTGTGGGTGGCTGTGCCCTCAGCTTGCTTTTGCTTAGGCTGGACCGCATAAGAGAAGAACCTCAAGTACCCCAACTTTATTTACAACCAGACCTGCTCCCCCAGCTCAGTTCTCAGCCTTGTTCTGGGGGTGGAGCTGGACAGTGACCCTTCTGCCAAGCCCAGAAGCATCACGGGGAGAAGCCCTGGCTCAGGGAGTTGCACAGGGAGTGCTACTTCTTCTGGGCTTGTGCTCTGGCCCGTTGAATCTTGTCAGCCGTGGCCCCATCCGTGGCTCCAGTGCAGTGGGATAACACAAGGCTCAGCTCAGCCTCGTTCCGGTGCTCGATGGCCACATCTGCGGCCTGTGCCACATCCCTGTGGTTTGAGCAGCAGGGAGGAGACTGTCAGGACATCCAAGAGCACAAGCTCCGACTACTATCAGCCCACTGGCTCAGCCCCCCACCACCCACGGGGTCTTCAGTTGACGTACCCAACAAGAAGCAGAGCCTTGACCTTCTGCTCAGGGCCCACGCGGGAAGCATACTTCTTGGCCTCATATTTGTTATGTTGTTTCATGCAGATCTCCACAAAGGGCTTGGCAGGAGAGGGAAGAGATGGAGGAAGACGATAAGGCATGGCCTTCCCATCTACTGTCTGATGAGCAAAGCCCCCTGAGGGGCTCACTGTCCATACATATTTTATACAACCATCGGTATGTGTGATCCCCGCCCCTCCCATGAGCACAGTCATGATCTCACCATTCTTAGGGCAGAAATAGCCTAAGTAGAAGACCTGTTAGAGCACTGAGATCAATTATTTTCAAGCTTCTACTCCTCTGTCCACCACTACTCCCTCCCAACAGGTGCTTCCTGCCATCTGCCCTCTCAGGTCCTATGTTTTCTCTCATGACTGCCTCATCAAACCCTCCCTCCACCCTCAGGACCACGTGGCACAGAAAGCAAACGCCCTCAAGAGCTTTCCCTGCCTCACAGGTGCACCCTTCCAGGCCCTCTCCAGCTCTGGCTCAAACAAGACTTCCCCTGAGGCACACAGGGTCTTCTTTTCCCAAGGAGGGAAAAACTTTTCATTCTCCTTCCTCTCCTCATTGGTAGGCAGGCTTGGACCACCCTCCAGGGTACCCAACACCAGATGGTGTCTTCCCACCAACGTGTGTACCCATGAAGCACTTGCAAACCATGTGGGATGGCTGAATAGGTGCACGAATGAGCCATCCTGCTTGGCACCGTGCCTGTCCCCTCCCCAGGACTACCCTGCCCTCACTGCAGGTGGCTGGAGGGGAGGCTCCATCTTACCAGGTAGCCAATGGGCGACTTCTTGCTCTTGGAAAACTTCTCCAGCTCCTCCCAGTCCTCTAGCTCTGCCAGGGCAGTCAGCTTCAGCCACCACAGCCTGCAGGAAAGCTGGGTTTGGGGGGGCTGCAGGACAGGTAGGTCATCCCAGGACTTACGTGTGGCCTAGGCCCTCAACTACCTTTTGTCAGGAATGCGGAAGTCACGTGCCAACTGCTCTGCACGCTTGTTGTGGCCACCAAGGATAAGAGTGGTGACGGTGTCGTGTAGAGACAGGTCTAGGAATCGGCCCCCTAGCTCATCTTCTAGGCGCCGCTGAAGCCGGAGGAGGCGCATTTGGTCTTCTGTGGCCTGGGGACCCAGATGAGGAAGGTCAGGATGAGAGGGCCAAAGAGGGAGGACCAGGAGGGGAGGAGTAGAGACAGTTAGAAAAAAGTGGGCCAAACCTTGGCTGCAAACTCATTCTTGGCCTTGTAGAAGGCATCAGCTGCTGTCTGCAGAGCTGCTACTCGCCCCTCGATCCGCTACAAAGAAGAGGGAGGCTGGAGCTCACACAGCACAGGGCCCAGGCCCTCCCAGCCCAGGCCACAGTGTCCTCCCTGATGCTTGTGTCCAGGGTCAACAGGGTCAGCCGTACCACTAAGTGCACAGCTCTGATGTCCCAGCGGGATGCTCATTCCTCGAAGGTCAACCCCCATCCTGGCCTCCATCTTCCCATACTCTCCCCTCAACAGTAAGGACCAGACAGGGTGTGCATCAAACACAAAGGACTGGACTTTTGGAGGAGGAACCGACCAGCAGCCCCAGACCACAGGCCCCTGCCCGCCCCATAGACCTCAGACCTCTTCTGCAGCATAGCTGGCTCGGATGTGGAAGCTGCCCAGTTCCTGGTGATTGTCATCCTGATTATAAAGGTCCTTCAGCGTCTCTAGCTCCTGATGCTTACAGAACTGGGGGACAGGTAGGCGATTAGTCAGCAGAGCCAACCCAAGGGCTCCGGAGGCTCCATCTCCACCCTGTCCACCACACACACCTGTCGATACAAACTCAGAGCCATGGGCTGGTTCCGAAGCGTCATGAAAAAGTCTCCTCGGTTCAGCTCATTCTTCAGGTGCAGCAACACCGTGAACACTGTGGGACAGGACGGTGGGGTGGGGACTCCAGCCCAGCCCCTTGCTCAGCCAAGAGGCCACAGCCTTGCCCTCATCCAAACCTTACGCACCCAGGTCAGTGTCCCCACTCTCAATGGCCTTGTTCAGTGCCAGTTTGCTCCTTTTCATCTTTAGGAGAAGGGGTACCTGTTCTCCTGAGCGTGGCTCATACTCTAGGAGCTGCGGGGTGGGAGGGAAGGCAAAGAGAAGGAGATGATGTGGGACCCTCAAACACCCCCAAAGACCCTGAGTGTCTGGGGAGAGCGGGGCGCTCACACCTTGATGGCCAGCTCCGTGCGGCCACAGCCATAGGCCCGCGCAGCAATGTCGGAGTAAGAGACGCCAGGCGTGTCCCCCAGTTTCTGGTTAATGGCTCGAGCAACATCTTCATCTGACACATCTTTCTGTTGCACCTGCAATATGGGAGGGAGGGGCGTCACACACATCTGGCTGTCAAGTCTTACTCCCCACCCTCATAGGCCCTCGATCAGACCCCACCCCTTCAGGTCTACACTTTATTTCTATACTTTACTAGTTCCCAAAATCCTCCAAATGCCCTTGGACATCATCCCACATGCTTGCCTTGTAGCAGGCCCAGTGAGCCAGGATCCTGCTGACGCCCTGTACTTCAGGAAGGCGCAGGTACTCGCAGATCTGGATGGCCAGCGGGTAAAGTCTCCGCAACACTAGTCTATGCAGGCCAGAGGGTCAAAAAAAGGGGGGATTTAGGGGTGAGGGGACAGAGTGGCCCCAGGTATGCTAAATCCCAGACATGGGTCAGGAGCAGTAATCACTGACCTCACCAGTGGTGCAATGCCCACCCACTTACAGCCCTCCTTACAACATCCTGGGCTTGCTATACCTGTCCAGCAGCACCTGGATGGTAAGCTGCTTGTATCTGTATTTTCTTTGGTTAAGGATCCAGCCGGGGGATAAGCCCTATGTGCCAAGGACCTATAGACCACATCTGCAGCCCCTGCCCCCACCACTCATGGCTGTCAGCACCCTTCTGGCATGCATGAGGATACTGGCTGTAGGTGAGAGGGATCCCGATGTGGTAGTCGCGAACAGCATTGAGCACTCGCAGGTCCTGACACATGCGCACAAAGCTGTCGGGTGGAAATCTGTCCAGGAAACACTTTCCAAAGGACGCCGCCTGAGAAAAGCCAGAGGGCAACAGGAAACAACTTCCCCTGGTGCTTCTCACACCCCCTTCCCGGCATCCTCCAGCCCTGCCCTCCAGGCCAACCCTGAGCAGACTCTTCTGCATGTCGGGACGGTGCTCGTGCCCCGCGGCCTCAATGCACTGCTGCACGGCCTGTGTCAGCTGCCCCAGTTCCTGGATCTCCCGCAGGTATTCATCCGCCTTCTGGCTTTCTTTCTAGGGGGAAGGGCCAGGGATGTAGCGTGAGAACAGAGACATCCCCACACGTGGCCCCCTGCCCTTCAGGACTGTGGTTCAGACGGGCCACTGTGAAGGGGCTGCGCAGACAGACGCCTAAACCTCCCCCAAGCTCACCAGACCCACCAGAGGTATCCAGAGATCACCCCAGCTTAGGCCACAACTGCCTGTTGCGGGGCCTTGAGACCTCCCAGTAGTAGCCCTGGCTTATGGGCTGGGAACAGTGGGGACACCCTGCCTCTTGCCAGAACCATATGAAGGACACTGTCACTTCTGTCCAGCTGAGCCATCCTCTCCAGCCCAGCCAAGTGTCTGCCAGTCCTGCCCACTCCCCCTGCCAGGGGCACCTGGCTGTGGCCACACAGTGGGCCGGTCAGGGAAGGAGAAGGAGAAAGAGGGGAGCCACCGGGGCCTGGGAGGAAGCCCAGGGTTTTACCTCATACTCCTTTTGGGCCTCCAACAGCAGAGCTCCAGGGGCCATCGAGGCAATTTTGAAGATCTCCTCACTGGCCGCTGGGGGAGGGAGTTAGTGAGTGGGGCCGGGGGCCGGGAAGCCCCAGTTCCCCCCAGAACTCCCTTATCCTGCCCTGAGGCACTGGCCCAGAGCAGCTGGATTATATATGCCCTGGGAGGGCCTCACCTGGCACCTCATGCAGGAACTCGTGGGTGCTGCGAGAGAAGATGCGGACCCCGTCGAGTTCAGGCACCAGGTAAGAGTCCTCATCCAGCACGAACCTGAGCTTGGTCAAGGCTATAACGAGCACCCAGAGGTGGAGCAGAGCAAGTAACAAACCACTCATCCCGGCTCCTCACCCCTACCCCGCACTGCACAAGCAGCTTCCAAGGATACTGGATGCTCTCGGGTGCGTCGCCCACTACCATCAGCCGCCTCTCCCAGGCTACCACAACGGCCTTTTCCTTGCTGCGAGGACGGGTGCACCTGCAGGCAGCAGCGCGTGTGTGGGACCCACAGGCATGTCTCCCACATCACTGCTTGCGTCTCTTTGCTTTAGGACAGCCCTGTAGCCCATTCCTCTGACCACAGCCTGACCTGTCTGCTTCCTTCTTACCCCTGCAGCTTCAGCTCACAAGGGCAGCCACGGCCCACACAGGACAATGGTGTCCTTCAAGTATGTACTGGCAGAGGAGGGAAGATCCAAGTGCCACCTGGCTTGGCCACGAGTCAGGACAAATCAAGGCGTCCCAGGAAACAAGGCCACGTGCCACTGCCACCCCCAGCACAACACCAGCAATCTCACCAGACCATCTGCTTCGGGGGTGCCCTGATGTTACAGTTGAACTCACACAGCTTCTCCTGAAAGGATGAGGGGATGTCATGGTGCTGACCTAGGCCTCATGAGTCTGGTGGCAGAGCCCCTCTCCTCCCCCACAGACCTTTCCTGGACAAGGTGTGGTGCCCCCGTGTTGTCCCAGGATCACACCTTGAGTGATGCCGTCCCCATCCAGATGTAGCCTGTGTCTGTGAAAAGCGCCAGGTGCCGGTAGGTAAAGGAGACGGCCATCTGCAGGAAGCTGCTCACTCCTGGGGCCAGGCCAGGGGGCGTCTGGGTGAGGGCAGGGAGGACATCACATACTGACTTCCCAGGGCCTTGCCCCTGCCTTCCCCGGCCCTTCCATTTCATTCCCACTCAGGGTCCTTACCACCATGGAGCAGGTTGCATGGTCCAGGAGGTAAAGATCAGGCCCCACGGCCAGAAGAATGTGTGCTACTCGGTCCTGGCACAGTGTGGTCCAGCAGGAGGGTGCACTTTGTAAACCTGGGATCGGGGAGGAAACCACCTCAGTGCCCCCAGCTTCTGCCCCCATTAGTTCCACAGTCAGGAGGCACATCTCCGGGGTGCTAAGTGGCTTTCTTGGTAAGTCAGAGCTCACCTGGCACCTCTGACATCCGGCGGAGTTTGAGGTCACCCACATTGGCACTGAGGGTGAAGCGATGGGCCCCTGTGAGGATGGCCACTCCGGAACCAAACTCAGTATGAAAGATCCGGGCATCCAGAACCCGATTCTGGAGCACCTCCTGGGGAGAGAGGCCACGGGTTGAGGGAGCCACAGGGTCAGCAGCTCACCTGCTTCCCCGGCCCCCAGTGGCCCTTACATTGCCCATGCTGAAGTGTCTCCGGAAGTCGCCGTGAAGCCCGTACACCAGCACTGCACCATCTTCCTGCACGCACAGCAGCTCCTCCTCCGCCGACCAGCCCAGGGACACCACAGGCCCGCTCTTCCACTACAGAGACAGGTTCCTGAGATGTCCTCGGGACGAGGGAGCCTTGCCCAGCCCCCAGCGCCGAGGACAGTCAGAAACGCTCACCAGCAGGCTGGCTAGCGGCACGCCGGAAGCAGAGTAGATCTCGAGCACTGGCCGCAGGCTGGCAGCTTTCTCCTTCCGCCAGGGGTTCCTTAGCAGCGCTGCAGTTGGAGAACAGACCTGCTGTCCAAACTCCCCAGGACCTCCCCAGCCAGAGGAACGTGTGCCACTTGGGCCTGGCGCAGTGTGGTACAGCACAGCCTCAGGGAGTGGCTCTGCAGGCCCACTGCATGTGAACAGGCCTCATACACAGGTTTTTTTGAGAACTGTAAGTAAAGGCACCTCAGCAGGGGGAGTGGGAGGTGGCAGCAAGGCCCCCAGGAATTGAGGGTCTCGAGACCATCCCATGGTCCAGGAGCATGCAGTGGTGGAGGGGTAACGTACCAATGGGACCCCCATAGGGTGCGGCAGCCACCAGGCAGTCCCTGAGTTCCTCCTTCAGGTCCCAGTCCATGCTGTACAGCTCATATTTCCTGCCGAAAGACAAACAGAGATCAGCCTCCCTGTGACCCTGCAGCTGGGAGCCGTGAACTCCTAGGAATTCCCAAAGCCTCCACTTGTCCTCCATGGCGCAGCAGTGGGGGTCTCCCATCCCCCCGGAGGCAGGGTCAGGGAACAAGACTGGAAGTTGTTAGCCCAACGAATGATGGGCATGCCTAAGGACAGCACGCGAGGGAGCAAACTGTGTTGCTGAGGAAGGCTGTGGTTCTTGGGGCAAGTGCCCAAGGTGGACAGAAGCTCCTGAGAAAGGTTGCTTATGTGCACAAAGAGAAAACCAGGGTGGGATGGCTGCCCCGGGCCAGCATCAGCAGGAGTGTAGACCCTCAGAGAGCGCCTCTCGGGGAAGGGAGCCTCTCTCGTTTCTGCCTCTTAACCGTCAATCAGGTTGGGCCTTTACTTGCAGGGCTCCAGCTCAAAACTTGTTGATGTTGATGATGGACTCAGCTCTAGAAGCACCGAGCCTGCAGTGCCTGAAAGACACTGACGAGGAGAGGAGCTCTTCCGTGAGGTGCTGTCACACTGTGAATGCCTGTCGCATGAGAGGTAGGGACGAGGTGGCTGCATCTGAGACGTGCGTGCATCACAAGAGAGGATGGAGGCGAGGGCTTGAGGCGTGCCATCACCTGCTGTTGGGAAGCGGGAAAGGGGGATGGCGGAAGGGCAGAGAAGGCGTGGGCACTACTCCGGGAGGCCAAGAGAAGACAGTGTCCCAGGAGAGTGCTTGGCTAGCACTTCCTTCTCACTGATGATCAGGAGGATGCCACTGTTACCTTCTACCTGACCGCTCAATTGTTTTGGCTCTAGCAAAAATAATTTAATGAGAAAAAAAAGAATAAAGAGGTTCATATTTTGGAAAAAGAACAGGATTATTACTACAGGCTGGGCACCCCTAATCTGAAATCTGAAATCAAAAACTTTCTGAGTATCTTGGATTTAGGATTTGCAAATTAGCAATGTTCAATCAGTAAATGTCCTATGCAAATGTCCTAAAATATGAAAAATTCCAAAATCTGAAACACTTCTAGTTCAAGCCCTTTGGATAAAGGATACTGAGCCTGTATTTGCAAATAATGTGATTGTCTACTTAGAAAATACAAAGCAGTTTGTTGACCAACAAAAATCACTCTATTTTTATATCATAACAAGAATCAATCAGAAATATAACATTTTTTTTAAAAAAGGATTTATTTATTTGCTTGAAAGGCAGAGTTACAGAGAGGCAGAGGTGGGGTGGGAGGAGGTCTTCCATCCACTGGTTCACTCCCCAGATGGCCACAATGGCTGCAGCTGCACTGATCCAAAGCCAGGAGCCAGGAGCCAGGAGCCAGGAGCCTCCTCTGGGTCTCCCATGCGGGCACAGAGGCCCAAGTACTTGGGCCATCTTCCACTGCTTTCCCAGGCCACAGCAGAGATCTGGATCAGTAGTGGAACATCCAGGACTTGAACCAGCGCCCATATGGGATGCCGACACCAGAAGCAGTGGCTTCACCAGCCATGCCGTAGTGTCGGCCCCAGAAATATAACTTTTAAAAGATCAGGGTAGGCATTGAGGTGCAGGGGTTAAGGCACAGGCTGGGATGCCTGGATCCCATAATGGATTGCTGGTTGGAGTCCTGACTATTTTGCTTCTTGCTAACATGTCCTGGGAGGCAGCAAAATATATGGCTCAAGTTCCTGGTCCCCTGTCACCAAGGTAGGAGCCCTGATTGAGTTGTGGGTTCCTGGCTTTGGCTTGGCCCAGCCCTGGCTGTTGTAGGCATTTGGGGAGTGAACCAATGGATGGACAGTATCTCTCTCCCTCTCTTTCAAGTAGATAAAAATGTTTATGATGATTCTAATCATGGTAGCAATATACTTTAAGATACCCAAGAACAAACCTAAAGAAAAATTTTACAAAATCATAGTTTTTTCAAAGATATAGAAGACAAGGAGAAACAGTCCATAATTATCTGTGAAGAATCTTCAAAAAGTTCATGAAAAATGCACATAATGAAAAAAAATACATGAATTTCTAAATTTTTACTCCAAAATAAACTTATCTTTTAATTCCATTTTCCCAAACTTTTTTGAAATCTTCTTATGTAAATGCATAGAAATTCTAATAAAAACTCCCCCTCAATTTTTGTGGGGGAGAGGCACAAACTGATTTTAAAGTTCATCTAGGAAGGGAGAAGATGATAATCTGAAAGAGAAAATACTGGAAATATTTAAGAATATTTGGAAAAGAGAAGAACAGGTAAAGAGAACAAAGTTTAGAAAAGAACTTGGGGGGCTGGTGCTGTGGCATAGCAGATAAAGCCACCGCCTGCAGTGCCGGTATCCCATATGGGCACCAGTTCAAGTCCCAGCTGCTCCACTTCCAATCCAGCCCTCTTCTATGGCCTGGGAAAGCAGCAGAAGATGGCCCAAGTCCTTGGGCCCCTGCACCCACGTGGGAGACCTGGAAGAAGCTCCTGACTCCTGGCTTTGGATCGGCATAGCTCTGGCCATTGCAGCCAACTGGGGAGTGAACTGTCAGATGGAAGACCTCTCTCTGCCTCTCCTTCTCTCTCTGTGTAACTCTAACTTTCAAATAAGTAAATAAATCTTAAAAATTAAAAAGAAGAAGAGAAAATTAAAGAAAAGAACCTGGGAATTGAGCATATGCTAGAAATGGCCCAAGTGCTTGGGCCTTTGCCACTCACGTGGGAGACCTGGATGGATGGAGTTCCTGTTCCTGGCTTCAGCCTGGCCCAGACCTGGCGGTTAAGGCCATCTGGAGAGTGAAACAGCAGATGGAAGATCTCTCTGTGTCTCCCCCTCTCCTTCTGTTGCTCTGTCTTTCAAATAAATAAATCTTTTTTTTAAAAGGATGGCATTTCAAACTAGGACAAATTAATACTGGAAATGAGACAATGGGCCACATGGGAAGAACTACAATAAATACAATTTCATTACTTAGTCTCTAAAGTAAAGTATCTTCCAGGTGTAATTAAAGATTTAAATGCTAAACTAATAACAATACCTAGCCTAGCCTCAACCATCCTTGCCATTGGGGTGTGAACCATTGGATGGAAGATCTCTGTTTCTCTGTCTCTCTGTCTCTCTCTTGGTCATGCTGACTTTCAAATAAATAAGCCTTAAAAAAAAAAAAAATGAAGATGGAAGCAGGTGCCATGCTGTAGCGGGTTAAAAGCCTTGGTCTGCAGCGCCAGCATCCCAGTTCCAGTCCTGGCTGCTCCACTTCCAATCCAGCTCCCTGCTGATGCACCTGAGAAAGCAGCGGAGGATGGCCCAAATCTTTGGGCCCCTGCACCCACGTGAGAGACCTGGAAGAAGCTCCTGGATGCAGATTGGTTCAGCTCCAGCTGTTGCAGCCAGTTGGGGAGTGAACCAGTGGATGGAAGACCTCTTTCTCTCTCTCTCTACCTCTCTCTATAACTCTTCCAAATAAATAAATCTTTTTTTAAAATGAAGGTGTACATCCTTTGATTTAGAGAAAACCTGGAAAAAACCTCTAAATGCCCTTCAAAGGATAAACTGTGCAATGCCTACTCTGAGGAATATTATGTGGCCGCTAATACAGTGACTGTTTTCTGACACAAAACAACTTGTAAGCTATACTGTCAAATGAGAATGGTAAGCATCACTGGATAGAAATCCATTTATGTAGTAATAATAAAAAAAAAAGCTGAGCTATTTTTGACAAGCATACTTTCCTTATAGACACATAAATATATAGAAAAATACTCTGAGGCCTTCATACTAAGCCCGAGACAGTGGTTACCTCTGAGAGGGTGGTGGATGGTGAGGGCAGCTAGGGGACTGTCCATTTTTATATTATGTATTTTGACCATGTTTGAATTTTTTACAACCCATAGCCATTTCTTTTGACATTTTGTCACTAAAATCATTGGGTGAAAAATCTGATAAAATAACCACACAGACCTAGCATGCCAGCTGCCAGCTTACTGACTTTCAGCCCCAAATGTACCTGTAGCACACGCATTGCGCTGCCAGCAGCAGCCCCGTAAGCGTTTCTTCTTTGCAGTGAGCGTTACGTTGTGCTTTCTCGGCAGAGGGCGCTGGGGAGACACTGCATGGGAAGGGGTCCCTCCTGGGCTTCCAGCGGTGGCTGTCAGCCCTCAGAGAGGGTGTGAGGGCGCCTGGTGGTGCTGAGCCTCAGCCATGTGTCCAGAGAGCCTTGCCCACATAACTTTCTCAGGCTCTCTGGCCAGACATGACATTCCAGGCTTCCTGCCCACACAGGCCCACACTTCCTCTGCATGTCCAGATGCTTGGCCTCTGGCTGCAACCTGCCTGCACCCTAGGCGGTTTCTACTGACTTCCTGTGCACACCTGTCTACCCAGTCACTGGCTGGAGTTGGGCCTACGACAGTGCGTGTTTCAGGTCTCCTGCCTGCACCAGCAGACGCACTCCTACTGCACACCCACACTCCAGTCTACCACTTGCACCTTGCCTGCATCCCTGTTGCATCTTTCTTGTCCAATATTTTTTTTTTTTTATTTTTATTTTTTATTTTTGACAGGCAGAGTGGACAGTGAGAGAGACAGACAGAGAGAAAGGTCTTCCTTTGCCGTTGGTTCACCCTCCAATGGCCGCCGCTGCAGCCGGCGCACCGCGCTGATCCGATGGCAGGAGCCAGGATCCAGGTGCTTTTCCTGGTCTCCCATGGGGTGCAGGGCCCAAGCACCTGGGCCATCCTCCACTGCACTCCCTGGCCATAGCAGAGAGCTGGCCTGGAAGAGGGGCAACCGGGACAGAATCCGGCGCCCCGACCGGGACTAGAACCCGGTGTGCCGGCGCCGCAAGGTGGAGGATTAGCCTATTGAGCCACGGCGCCGGCTTTTCTTGTCCAATATTGTGGACCAATTTTGGCCCTGCCACACTGGCCAACTTTTCTGCATGAGCTGTGACCATATTTTCTCCAATGAGATCTAAACCTCAGTCTTGGGAGAGGCTCTTCCCTTTCAAGTTTGTCATTTCTTGGGTACTCTTCCTCTACCCATGTCTATGAAGTTTTCTTACGTCCTATACTTTTTTTTAAAGATTTATTTATTTGAAAGGCAGAGTTAAAGAGAGGCAGAGGCAGAGACAGAGAAATCTGCTATCTGCTGGTTCACTCCCCAATTGGCCGCAACGGCCGGAGCTGAGCTGATCCAAAGCCAGGAGCTTCTTCTGGGTCTCCCATGTGGGTGCAGGGGTCCAAGGACTTGGGCCATCTTCCATTGCTTTCCCAGGCCATAGCAGAGAGCTGGATTGAAAGTGGAGCAGCCAGGACTTGAACCGATGCCCATAGGGATGCCAGCGCTGCAGGTGCCAGCCATACCCACTATGCCACAGTGCTGGCCCCATGTCTTATACTCCTTTATCGCAGGAATTCTTTACATTAACTTTCCCAGTTTAATTTCTGGACTAGATCCAGACTGATAGAGACTTGGTACAGGGAGTGGTCCCTGGAGACAGACTCCAAAGGATGGCATTTGGGTACTGGTTTGGTGTTGAGCTCTCTGCCAGTAAGAAACAGTTGCCAGTAACCCTCTGTATGCAGCGGCATCACAATGCAGCAAGCCTGCAGGTTATTGTGATGAAGCAGCAACAGAGATATGTGCTTGAGAGTGACTTTTACATACAACTCCAAGGCACTGGTGACGACTACAAGGACTCTGGTATGAGCTGGATTGTTTTGTTTCTTTAAAAATGTTTATTTACTTATTTTCATATGATTGAAAGATGGGGGGGGCAGGGAAAGGGAAGGAGAGAGGAAAAGAGAGAGATCTTTCACCCACTGGTTTACTTCCCAAATGTTCACAATAGCAGGGCTAGACTAGGCCATAGCCAAGAGCCTGGAACTCCATCTGGGTCTCCCACATGGGTAGCAGGGGCCCAAGCACTTGAGCCATCCTCTGCTGCCACCAGGATGCATCAGCAAGAAGCTGATTTGGAAGTGGAGTAGCTGGGACTCTAACCAGCACTCTATATGGGATGCAGGGGTCCCAAGCAGTGGTTTAACCCCTGCACCACAATGCCTAAAAACAATCTCAAGTGCTTAAAACAATCTCAGGTCCATTAACTTTCAGCTCAAGCCATGGTCTGAGGAGCAAAAAAAACTCCTATAATGTCCCTAAGAGAATCTCTTAGTTCTCATAGTCACACAGCTGCTATTGCTGAAAATCAAACACAAAATTTGACTGTGCGGGTTGCTGAACTACAACAGCTGAATTCTCTAACATGCAATTTTTCATGTAAAAGATTAGTAAGGGCCGGCGCCGTGGCTCAATAGGCTAATCCTCCACCTTGCGGCGCCGGCACACCGGGTTCTAGTCCCGGTTGGGGCGCCGGATTCTGTCCCGGTCGCCCCTCTTCCAGGCCAGCTTTTTGCTATGGCCAGGGAGTGCAGTGGAGGATGGCCCCAGGTGCTTGGGCCCTGCACCCCATGGGAGACCAGGAAAAGCACCTGGCTCCTGGCTCCTGCCAGGATCAGCGCGGTGCGCCGGCTGCAGCGGCGGCCATTGGAGGGTGAACCAACGGCAAAAGGAAGACCTTTCTTTCTGTTTTTTTTTCTCACTGTCCATTCTGCCTGTCAAAAAAAAAAAAAAAAAAAAAAAAAAAAAAAAAAAGATTAGTAAGGTACTGATCAGGAAACAATGGGATCCTGAAACTTGGCAGGGGGAGATCTAATTAGATGTAGATGAAACTGGTTTTAGACTGCAAGCCATTCTGAGCCTCTTTTCAGTGGAAGCAGCAGCCTTGTCTCTGAGGAGACCAGCCTTCCTCTGCTTGAAAACCTTAGGGTCACCTCCTTTGCTGTCGAGGTCTTGGAAGCCTCCCTGTCCAAGGCTGGCCTAGCTAACACTGCCAACTGCTTCATCTGTCAACAGCAGAGACTAACACATGGCTTCAATATGGCACCATTCCCGGGGGGCCAGCCTGCAAGTTGATTACATCGGGCCTCTTCCGTTCTGCAGGGCGCAGAGATTTGTCCTCATTGGATCAGATAAATAATCTGGATGCGAATTTGTCTTTCCTGCCTGTAATGTGTCTGCCAGCACCCACCATCTGTGGATTTACAGAATGCTTTATCTACCATCACGGCACTATGCAAAGTACTAAATCCAATCAACAACTTCATGTCATAGCAAAGAAACTGCTGCTGTGAGCTTAGGGCCATAGAATCAACTGGCCTTGCCATACAACCCAACACCCATGAGTGGCTAACCTAAAACTACCAGCCGGTTGGGAGACAACATCCTTCAAAGGATGGGGCTGTTCTTACAGAGGCCATTATATTGTCTCTTCCGGTTAGAATATACAGGACCTAGAATCAAGAGGAGGGAGTGGCTCCTTTCACTATTCCACCTAGTAACCATCTCATCAAAATGTCACTTCCAGTCCCAGTAACTTTGAGATCTGTCATCTTGAAGAGCTTAGACCTCAAGGAGAAAAAGCCTTCTACAGGAGGTATAACAATGGAATTATTGAACTGGAACATGAGAGTGCTTCTTTGCCATTTTGGGCTCCTTATGCCACTGAACCAAGAGGCTTACAAAATGGGGCCAATCTCCCTGTGCGGGTGTGGGTGTTGTGTCGGGAAGTAGGGTGCTGGTGCGAGGGCTGTGCTGCTGCACCTGCTTTGTGCTCAGGAGAGAGGGAGAGAAATACGCAACTGATGAGACTTTATAAAATAATTATCATGACACACACACACACAAAAAAAATGGGGCCAATCTACTGGTTGATTACAATGGGGAAATAGAACTGCTGCCACCTTATGGAGGTAAAGGCTGTGTCTGGAACCCAAGAAATCCTCTGAGGGCA